CGAGATCCTCAAGTTTCGTGTCTGCTCTGTTGGTAGCCAAGATCACGCGAACCCATGCCAGCAGTCACACTAGCCACAAATTCTTGAATGTGTCGCCTTCGGCGCCGGAATTCTTCGCGAGCCCGGCCAGCAGCTATGTTAATAGCTATTCAGCGAGGAAACGCAGCCAGCGTTTTTGGGACGAAACCACGGGGAGCAGGTCTTTATGACGATTTAAATTTTTAGTTTTACTATATTATAGTTTTTTTACTTTATATTATGTGTTATAATATATAGTAAAAAAAACTGTAAGTGTAAATATTGTAAAATAAAATATATGTAATTATTCTTAAATTTTTAGGTATTTGTACTCAGGAATTAACGTAAAAACTGGTCTTTTTTACTTGACTCGTAAATTTTTTTTCTCATCAACTTTATTATGTTTTCAAAAAGTTTTTCATTTAGTCATAACCAGTATTTTAATTTAGCATTTACCAAAGTATACCTTCAAGTCACTCTATCAAGTCCAGAGGTAAAATCTCATCATAACTGACAAAACGAAGCCAAATTCGGCGTATCTAGTTCTACTCGTCGAGGAGTTCCAGTCGCAGATACCGAAGTACACCTTCAGGTCTCTCCATAAAGTCCAAGACGTATAAGTACATTTATATATAAAACCTACGTACTTTTAGCGAAACAATATATTGTTATGAAAATCTGTGATTAGAAAAATAATAATATCTTACCTTGGTCAAGTATGTATCAAATATATCTATATAGGTATCGTCACTGGAAAGCCAATACTACTTAAGCGCCATTTTGGCCAAAATGAGTTATATACATCGTTGAATTGAGTTAGTCTGTATTTCGTGATGATCTGAGCACTTTTTTGGCGATTAAGCACTGCAAAAGTATGGTATTTATCATAATTTTCATGTTTTGACAAATACTTTCGTAATACAAGTTATGATTAATTTTTAGTCGTTGTCAGTTTAGTATTTGTCTTTACTGACAACAGATATTTCAATTTTGTTCAGCAACTAATACTGTAGTTGAGTCATTGATGTCACTTTAGTATTCTTTGTCGGCCGTAAATACTAGCTTATATAATGTAGGGAAGTCTGCAGTCTGTGAACAGGTACAGGATCGCCCCCGTCACTACATCAGATTTGATAGACCACAAATCCTCGCTAAAGAACACTGATTCATTCCAATGATGATTCGCGAAGCTATTGAAATCAAAAAACATCCTAATTTCAATAGAGATGGCTGGGTGCTACTGTCTGCATGGGATCTTATAATAAATAAAATTAAATCCCAACCCAAGCATAAAAATGCAAGACTTCAAGATAACATAAGTTCATACTGTGTAGATCGGAATAAAAGTTAAATTTTAATCTCTGGTAACCGCGGTTAACTATGACATCTAGACGTTGAACATCTCAGTCCCTCCCGTGACCATGGGTGATGTAAAGCGCTCGAAACGTCGGGTATTTAAAAAGTTAAATATACGCGATAAAATCCTTAAAAACTAGTATTATTTAAATGTGTACTGTTCGCGTAAATATACGAAATCATAATGTCTTACTGTTATTAGTTTTCTTGATATCAAAAGGTAGGGCATTCCAGAGTAGTATGGACTGCACAGTAAAAGAAGAATCAAAGAAACCACTCTCATGTAGTGGAATACAAATTTTGCTGCCATATTACAAGTACTTACCGGAAGCCGTGTTCGAAAATGACTGCGCCGGGCTCTACTGGGACCATCATCACAGACTGAACTATTATTGCGAGTAAGCCTTATATTGTGCTTATGGACCAGGCACAGTCAAGAATCTTTTTGGTCGACATTACCATTCCGCATGACAAGAACCTCGTGAAAGCCGAGGTAGATATGAAAACAAAATATCTGGTTGAAATAATACTAGTTTTTACAGATTTTATCGCGTATATTTAACTATAAATACTCGGCGTTTCGAGCGCTTTACAGCACCCATGGTCACGGGGGGGGGGGAGGGACTCGTAATGGGTGCTGTAAAGCGCTCGAAACGCCGAGTATTTATTAGTTAAATATACGCGATAAAATCCATAAAAACTAGTATTATTTCAATGTGTAGTGTTCGCGTAAACATAAGAAATCATTACAAAATATCTGGACCTGGTTCACGAGGTGACTGACATGTGGGGTGGTCTGCCGACCGAAATTATTCCTGTAGTCGTTTCTGGGGGGCTAATCCTAGTCAACCTCTCGGGTTATTTGAGACGACTGGGACTCCGTCACAGACCGTTCCGGGCTCAAATGCAGAAGGCGGTGTTTCCCGATACCGCCCTAATTGACCACCGGTTTCTTTCCCTTTCCCCTAACCCTCGGCCGTTTAGTCTCCCCTGCCGAGGTCAGGTCAGGTCAGGGTGGGCTTATATTTATTTATGTATTATTTATTTATTTATTTAGTATATTTAATACATATGTATGTATATTCATCATTTCCTTTTATATATTTATTCAGCCCAAACAGATGAGAATACTCTACACAAACACCTTTATAATAATAATAATAATAATAATAACGTAGCTGAGGCGGTCCGTAGGGCCCCGAACTGGAAAAGTCCGGGACTGGACGGGCTGCATCACTACTGGCTGAAGGGGTTCGTGGTGTGTCACACTGTGCTCGCCCGACAGTTTCAAGAGGTTCTCAACCAGAAGTCACTCCCGAGCCTCTTCACTACTGGGATCACCCATTTGGTTCCGAAAGGCCAGGGTACCACAGACCCGAGCAAATACCGCCCCATCACATGTCTACCTACCATATACAAGACACTAACATCCATTTTGAGCGCGAGAATCACTCGTCACCTGGACTCAAATCAGGTGATGTCGCGCGCTCAAAATGGATGTCGGGGCGGCGGTCGTGGAACCAAGGAACCACTCCTCATTGACGCGGTCATTGGCAAAGTGGTGAAACGCAACCGTCGGAACTTCTCCGCCGCCTGGATAGACTACAGAAAGGCATTCGACTCGGTGCCCCATACATGGCTAAAGAGAGTCCTCGAACTGTACAAGATAGACTGTACAGTTAGAGACTTCCTCGAGCAGTGTTTGGGGCAGTGGAGTACGATCCTTTGTCATCTGGGCGAGCGGATGATGGCTGCGGAGAACCACATAAGGATAAGAAGGGGTATCTTCCAGGGCGATTGTCTGAGTCCAATATGGTTCTGCCTCTCTATGAACCCTCTCAGTACCTAACTGGAGGGCTCCGGGAGGGGATTTCAGCTACGGAAAAGAGGGACAAAAGTGACCCACCTTTTTACCTTTTCTGTATGGATGACCTCAAGTTATTCGCCTCCAGTCGCTCCCATCTTATGGAATTGCTAAACATCACTTGTGAATTTAGCAATTCCATTGGAATGGAGCTGGGGACGGATAAGTGTACGGTAACTCCATGTTGAGAGGGGAAGGGTTGCTAACTCTGAGGGCATATACTTATCTATGCCCGTCAACTTAAGGACCCTTTCCGAGGCTGAAACATACCGATACCTGGGTATGTCACAGAACATCGGTATCGCTGAGGCTGGTATGAAACAGTCAGTTTGCGACGTGTTTTATGCACGCTTGACCAAAGTGCTTAACAGCCTTTTGTCCGGTGTGAATAAGACACAAGCATATAACGGCTGGGTCATGCCTGTCCTCATGTATACCTTTGGCATACTCAGGTGGACTCAGACTGAACTTAACGCCCTGGATAGAAAAGTCCGCACTACCATGACGTCCCACAGGATGCATCATCCGAGATCGTCGGTAATGAGGCTGTACTTGCCGCGAAAGCATGGTGGGCGTGGCCTCTTGAGCGCGCTCACCATGCATAATCGCGAAGTGTGCAGCCTCCGTAATTACTTCCTGGCGAGATCGGATGATCCATTCTATAAGGACGTCATTTCTTGTGATAAAGGACTTACCCCTATATCCTTAGCCAACGAGCAATGGCAAGACCCGGCAGTGCAGACAATTTCCGACCGGGAGACCGTATGGAAGGAGAAGGAGCTCCACGGGAGGTTCTACAAGTCTCTACATGGGACTTTCGTAGACACAGTAACCTCCCTCCACTGGCTACGCTTTGGTGACCTCTTCGGGGAAACCGAGGGTTTTGTCTGTGCAATACAGGATCAGGTTATTAAGACCAACAACTATCGGAGATACATCCTAAATCGCCATGTTCGCCGTAATCGCCATCCCGGTGAGTCACTTAGGCATGTCATCTCCGGTTGTTCGGCGCTTTCTAACTCTGAGTACTTGCACAGGCACAACCTAGTAGCCAGAATTCTACACCAGGAGCTCGCTCTGAAATACGGTTTCGTGGATCGGAAGTTGCCGTATTACAAGTACTTGCCGGAAGCCGTGCTCGAAAATGATCGCGCCAGGCTCTATTGGGACCGGGCCATCATCACAGACAGGACTATTCTTGCGAATAAGCCTGATATTGTGCTGATGGACCGTGCACAGTCAAGGATATTTTTGGTCGACATTACCATTCCGTGTGACGAGAACCTCGTGAAAGCCGAAACAAATAAGCAAACAAAATATCTGGACCTGGTTCACGAGGTGACCGACATGTGGGGTGGTCTGCCGACCGAAATTATTCCTGTAGTCGTCTCTGCAAACGGGCTAATCCCAGTCAGCCTCTCGGGTCATCTGAGGCGGCTGGGACTACGTGGCGGACCGCTCCAGGTTCAAATGCAGAAGGCGGTTCTCCTCGATACCGCCCGCATCGTCCGCCGGTTTCTTTCCCTTTCCCCCTAACCCTCGGCCGTTTGGTCTCCCCTGCCGAGGGCTTCCATCTGGTTGGGCTTTTATTTATTTATGTATTTTTTTTTAATTTTTTTTATTGATATTTATGTATGTTTATCTTTTCATTTTCGTTTATAATTATATATTTATACATCCCAACCAGATGAGAGGGCTGTATAGATGCCCCACAGTAATAATAATAATAATAATAATAACCTGGACGCTGCAGCATACGAACCGCCAGCCGAGCGCGAGGTGCTGCACGACCACCCAGCAGCCCCTCGCATCCATCATCCCCACCAGCTGGCTTGGTGTCGGCAGGGTCTTCGCGGGCCCAGCAATCGGCACCCGCCTCTGGTGGAGTACGCCGCATGCGTTGGACAACCCAGATGAACAGCAACGCATTGCGGGCGTATTTTAGGGCGAAAGGGGGAGAAACTGGGTGTTTGGCGTATCGGGCTAGGATGCATCGTCTTTTTGCTGAGCTGGAGCCATCTTTAACCGTCACAGAGCAAAACCTGCCAGACCGAGTTCGGTATATCTTGCGCTCAAATATATTTGATGTCGCCGAACTCGAACGGCTACGACGTGAGGCTGTTCCCTCGTCGGACGAGAATGCTACGGCTGAGGATGCGGCACCACAAATGGTAGAGCAACCCGCAAACGTGAATACCCCAGTTGTGGTTGATTCAAACGATGATGGAACAGTCGCCCAGGAACTGGAATTAGAGCATATGAGGAGTACATTGGAAGAGGCGATTGTGGAAACGCGCAGTACGCCTCTCGAAAATCGACCGCGACTTCCCCGCATAGCCCTAAGCAAGCGGAATCGGGCTGTTGTGAGGGCTCTGAACCCAATGCTGGTGACCTATTTGGAAGCCAGCCGGGACCTTTGCGAGACGGACTCAATTCTTTTTGGCGCCGCGCTGGCAGTCTGCCGTATCATAGGTGCCAAGGTTTCCACGGCTGGACGTGCTACTGGTCATAGTAGCGCTATCCCAGCATGGAGAAGAAGAATTAAGGAACGTATCGCAAAGGCTAGAGCTCTCATCGGCAGACTGATATGCTTCAGGTCAGGCAAAAACAGGCCAAGAATTGTGCGCACCGTCAGGATGGCGTTTGCTGGGACAAATGTCAGTTTGTCCCAGCCGGATATAACGCAAAAACTGACGGAGCGCATAGATGATCTGAAGCAGAGAATCGCTGCTTGGGGAAAGCGGATTCGGCGATATACCGAGAGGTCGACACGGTTCAACCAGAATCGTCTCTTCCAGAGTGATCAGAAGAGGCTCTATGAATCATTGGAGCGACCAATGGTAAGTGGAACGGGTCCAGCACTGAATCAGGCCGACACTGTAGCATTCTGGCGCGGCCTGTGGTCAGAACCCGTAAACCACAGCGAGGGTCCTTGGACGGAAGTTGTGGCGAGTCAGTGTGCGGGTATTACGCCCATGGATCCCGTCATCATAACGCCGGATGACGTAGCTGAGGCGGTCCGTAGGGCCCCGAACTGGAAAAGTCCGGGGCTTGACGGGCTGCATCACTACTGGCTGAAGGGGTTCATGGTGTGTCACTCTGTGCTCGACCGACAGTTTCAAGAGGCTCTCAACCAGAAGTCGCTCCCAAGCCTCTTCACTACTGGGATCACTCATTTGGTTCCTAAAGACCAGGGTACCACAGACCCGAGCAAATACCGCCCCATCACGTGTCTACCGACCATATACAAGACACTAACATCCATTTTGAGCGCGAGAATCACTTGTCACCTGGACTCAAATCAGGTGATGTCGCGCGCTCAAAATGGATGTCGGGGCGGTGGTCGTGGAACCAAGGAACCACTCCTAATTGACGCGGTCATTGGCAAAGTGGTGAAACGCAACCGTCGGAACTTCTCCGCCGCCTGGATAGACTACAGAAAGGCATTCGACTCGGTGCCCCATACATGGCTAAAGAGAGTCCTCGAGCTGTACAAGATAGACTGTACAGTTAGAGACTTCCTCGAGTAGTGTAGGGGGCAGTGGAGTACGATCCTTTGTCATCTGGGCGAGCGGATGATGGCTGCGGAGAACCACATAAGGATAAGAAGGGGTATCTTCCAGGGCGATTGTCTGAGTCCAATCTGGTTCTGCCTCTCTCTGAACCCTCTCAGTACCTTACTGGAGGGTTCCGGGAGGGGGATTTCAGCTACGGAAAGGAGGGACAAAAGTGACCCACCTTTTCTATAAGGATGATCTCAAGTTATTCGCCTCCAGTCGCTCCCATCTTATGGAATTGCTAAACATCACTTGTGAATTTAGCAATTCCATTGGGATGGAGCTTGGAACGGATAAGTGTGCGGTCCTCCATGTTGAAAGGGGAAGGGTTGCTAACTCTGAGGGCGTAGACTTATCTATGCCCGTCAACTTAAGGACCCTTTCCGAGGCTGAAACATACCGATACCTGGGTATGTCACAAAACATCGGTATCGATGAGACTGGTATGAAACAGTCAGTTTGCGACGTGTTTTAGGCACGCTTGACCAAAGTGCTTAACAGCCTTTTATCCGGTGTGAATAAGGCACACGCATATAACGGCTGGGTCATGCCTGTCCTCATGTATACCTTTGGCATACTCAGGTGGACTCAGACTGAACTTAACGCCCTGGATAGAAAAGTCCGCACTACCATGACGTCCCATAGGATGCATCATCCGAGATCGTCGGTAATGAGGCTGTACTTGTCGCGGAAGCATGGTGGTCGTGGCTTTTTGAGCGCGCTCACCATGCATAATCGCGAAGTGTGCAGCCTCCGTGATTACTTCCTGGCGAGATCGGATGATCCATTCTATAAGGACGTCATTTCTTGTGATAAAGGACTTACCCCTCTATCCTTAGCCAACGAGCAATGGCAAGACCCGGCAGTGCAGAGCATTTCCGACCGGGAGACCGTATGGAAGGAGAAGGAGCTCCACGGGAGGTTCTACAAGGCTCTACATGAGCCTTTCGTAGACACAGTAGCTTCCCTCCACTGGCTACGCTTTGGTGATCTCTTCGGGGAAACCGAGGGTTTTGTCTGTGCAATACAGGATCAGGTTACTAAGACCAACAACTATCGGAGATACATCCTAAAGGATGGCACCGTCAACATCTGTCGAGCTTGTCGCCATCCCGGTGAGGCACTTAGGCATGTTATCTCCGGTTGTTCGGCGCTTTCTAACTCTGAGTACTTGCACAGGCACAACCTAGTAGCCAGAATTCTACACCAGGAGCTCGCTCTGAAATACGGTCTCGTGGATCGGAAATTGCCGTATTACAAGTACTTGCCGGAAGCCGTGCTTGAAAATGATCGCGCCAGGCTCTATTGGGACCGGGCCATCATCACAGACAGGACTATTCTTGCGAATAAGCCTGATATTGTGCTGATGGACCGTGCACAGTCAAGGATATTTTTGGTCGACATTACCATTCCTTATGACGAGAACCTCGTGAAAGCCGAAACAGACAAGCAAAGAAAATATCTGGACCTGGCTCACGAGGTGACCGACATGTGGGGTGGTCTGCCAACCGAAATTATTCCTGTAGTCATCTCTGCAAACGGGCTAATCCCAGTCAGCCTTTCGGGTCATCTGAGGCGGCTGGGACTACGTGGCGGACCGCTCCAGGTTCAAATGCAGAAGGCGGTTCTCCTCGATACCGCCCGCATCGTCCGCCGGTTTCTTTCCCTTTCCCCCTAACCCTCGGCCGTTTGGTCTCCCCTGCCGAGGGCCTCCATCTGGTTGGGCTTTTATTTATTTATGTACTTTTATATTTATTTTATGTTATTGATATTTATGTATATTTATCTTTTCATTTTCATTTATAATTATATATTTATAGAACCCAACCAGATGAGAAAACTATATAGATACCCTATAATAATAATAATAATGGACGGAAGTTGTGGCGAGTCAGTGTGTGGGTATTACGCCCATGGACCCCGTCACCATAACGCCGGATGACGTAGCTGAGGCGGTCCGTAGGGCCCCGAACTGGAAAAGTCCGGGACTCGACGGGCTGCATCACTACTGGCTGAAGGGGTTCGTGGTGTGTCACACTGTGCTCGCCCGACAGTTTCAAGAGGTTCTCAACCAGAAGTCGCTCCCGAGCCTCTTCACTACTGGGATCACCCATTTGGTTCCTAAAGGCCAGGGTACCACAGACCCGAGCAAATACCGCCCCATCACGTGTCTACCGACCATATACAAGACACTAACATCCATTTTGAGCGCGAGAATCACTCGTCACCTGGACTCAAATCAGGTGATGTCGCGATGAGAATACTATATAGATACCCCACATAATAATAATAATAATAATAGTTTATTTCTGACAACTTGCACATCCATATGGGTTAATGAAGTAACTTAATAAAGGGTGCACTTAATATGTTATACCAGTCAACACTGGAAATCATCCGATCTCATCAGGAAGTCATTGCGGAGGCTGCACACTTCGCGATTATGCATGCTGAGCGCGTTTAAAAAGCCACGTCTACCATGCTTCCGCGGCAAGTACTACCTCATTACTGACGATCTCGGATGGTGCATCCCATGGCAGGTCATGGTAATGCAAATTATTCTATCCAGGGCATTAAGTTTGAGTCCACCTAAGAATACCAAAGGTATGCATGAGGACAGGCATGACCCAAACGTTATATGCGTGTGTCTTATTCATGCCAGACAAAAGCCTGTTATGTACCTTGCGTCAAGCGTGCATAAAACAAATCACAAACTGATTGTTTCATGTCCACCTGATCAATACTTTACACTTATCGATATGTACCGTTATATTGATCTCTTACAGGATTTGCTGCATTCTTATAACCATAGCTTTCGTAGAACTATAAAAATGGATCGTTGTAATGTAAATTGTAATAATATTACGACAGTTTGGCGTAATTCCAACTTTAATAGGAGAGAAAATATAAAATCGGGTAAAACATATAAGACAAAGTTTAATGTTGGTGATCACGTCAGAATTACAAAGTATGAACACATATTCCACAAAGGTTACGAGACGATTGGAGTGATGAAATATTTGTTATTTCATCGGTTATAGAAGATCACCTTGGTTAGTATACACTTTAAAGATTTACAGAATGAAGTCATCATCGGAACATTCTATGAAAAAATGAGTTAATTACGATCCTACAAAAAATATAAGACTGATAAAATTGTATGTACACGTTACACAGGTCACAGAAAGCGTTGCTAGTGAAATGGAAAGGTTATCCGAATAAATTTAACACTTGGGTATTAGCATCGAGCTAAGAAGTTCCATGACTGGTGACGATTTTTGTTTACATTTCTATGATATACTTCCCCGAAAATGGAATGAGAATAGTCCGTTGAAATAGTAGAGTTTCAATATCCATGTACCATATTAACTGTTCAAGACCAAAAGTATAAGTGTTCCAGATGATGAAGAAAGTGAATCAACTGTCGCATATAAAAATAATATATGCAGGATGCATGCAGCATCTAACTAAGACAAAAATGATGATGTTATAGCCGCATGTAATTTGAAGAAAATTTTTCAAATTAAAACATGATAAGATATCAAAACATATCACTCTTTCTGTCGATGATAAAAAATTATATTTTAACGATTTTCACCTAAATTCAATCTTCAGCCTGGATTTGATCCGGAATCGAATTTCGTCTCTAAAAAAGTTGATAAATTTCCTTCTAATTTATATTTAGGTTTAACACCACAATTATTTGTGTATTGCGATATTATTGAACCGCAGATGCTTGGTGACTTCATATGTCCAATATTAAGAATAAATATCAATGGATCCTACAAAATGCACATACGGATCAAACAAGATGCATATTTTTTCTCCTCCACATTATGTGCCTGTAATCCGTAGATAATTTGAAACGACCGAAATATAAGAACAAACACAGGAATAAAATGTCCAATTCAATTTGAGACGAGCTGCGTTAAACTACATTTTGAACGCAATAATAATGTATACAAAGTATAGTAACAATATTTATCCTTATGACACGCACCAAGCGGGTTACGGGGTTCTTGTAATTTATAGCGGTGGAGTACTTCAACATGGATATGATATTGGAAGTTTTTTAGGTGCACTAATTCGTTCAGTTTTACCTTTACTGTCAAGTGAAGCTAAAGTAGTCAGTTAAGAGGTGTTGAATGCTGGTATAGGAATTTTGTCTGATATGATACAGACCAAACCAATGGATGAATCCATTAAAAATCGTCTTAAAGAAGCGACTTCTAACTTAAAAAGGAAAGCAGATGATAAATTAGACCGAGTAAAGGTTCAGTCACAATATTCAAAACGGAGATGATTGAAAAAAGAAACGAATAATAATATAAAAGTTTTAACAATATCATTCCTATGTTATCATTCTTGTGAATGTATCAAGTCATAATTGGGTTTAATTGCATTACCAGCTACTCAAACTAGTATAGAAAAATGGTCAATGGATTCACTACAAACCAATTTCATCTTTTAGCGAAGATGGACCAATAGAATTTCAAGTCTCTGGAACTGGCGATGACTACATAGATACCTTGATACATATAGAATCAAAAATTATAAATCTGGACTTAACAATCTTTGCAATTGTAACGCCCCCCTTTATATATTAATATGATATTATATAAAATGATTATTATTTTATATGACCAGGATAAATAAATATGTTTTGGTCTTACTAAAGGTTTAGTAATAGTCCCTTTGAAATATTTATGGCGTGATCGTCCTAGTTAGGACCCTTATTTACGTTTGTGTTTGTTTAGTAACTTAGAACTTTTAGGTGTCTTTTGGAAGAATGAATATTCACTAGGGCAATCGAAAGTCGTTGATAGTGCCTTATAAGCTATGTGAACCCCGTTCACGAAGACAGGGTTCGAGAAAGTTTAAAAACATTAAAACATCCCTATTCCACTTGTATCAGGTTCACATTATTAATTATCCCTTCCCGCTTGGGAAAGGCTCACAATATATATATATATATATATATATATATATATATATAAATATACCCAATACAAGGGTTTTGCTCTCCCATATATTTTCTTCAGTGAGCGCCAACGCCAAGGGACGTTAAGTTGGGAACTGGACCGTAGTCCATAGCAAAATAACTGGAGAAAGAGGGTTTAGCCCATTGGTAGTACTCAAGCACAAACCACAAACATCGACCGAAGTCGCGCATGTCAATGCGTGTAAACGCCATACAGAGTACGACCAAATCCAGCCACAGTGAATGTACGTCACATGGTTTAGGCAAATTGGCAAATTGGCCATAAAAATTCTCCGTGAGCGCCACCACCTGCCAGACTACTGTTCCTGCAGACGTGATGTAAGTGTATAGCATCACCACAGATTGTATGGCTAATAACCGCAAAACGTGTCATGAGTCTACCTCTCACCTTAAAGGAATGGGGTCCCACATTATGCGTCTTTCGGCCGAAGCCTTGAGAGTGTCCTCAGACTCTCCCTCCAACTACCACCCGCATGAGATTGACACATATGCTCCACCAATAAATACAACGTTCAGTCTAATAGCCAAAAGGCGGTTATAAGTAAGATAATAGTAATAATTTGTCAACAAAAAGGGTTGACAAATTATTACTATTATCTTATTATACACTGACGTTGAGTGTATGTATTTTTCGATCATGTTTGTCTCACCCACCAGCAAGTTGCCTTCAATAATTCAAAGGTGGGAAAGTTACAGAGATATATTATTATGTTGTTATAAAAAACATCATGGAGGTCAGACAGTCTGCAGCCCCGTAATAAATGACCCGAATTGGGCAAAGCTACTTAGGTGCGAGTCGAACCAAGACGCAGAGAGCGCCATTGAGAATAGCGACCCGCCAAACTACCATCGTAGAGACGCAATACTGCAGAACGACTATCGTCGGGCTTACACCATCCCAAGGTCCCCCATACAATCCCAGCAGACATCATCACCCGCATACCTCCATCGACCAGAACCACACGATGCGTCGAATCAGGCGCAGCATACCCGCAGATATCCATCGCAAGACGCAATACCGCAAGTAGCAGTAAGCATCAATGCGACTATCATACGAATGGCGCCCACTCACAATACACCCACATGATCCCTATCGACTTTGGTACCAAAATTTGTATTGTTGTTAACTAAAAAGAACACCAACGTATCATACGTAGGACACTCAATAAGTTTTGAGATATTCAAAAAGTATTCTAGATACTATTAATATTTATTTTACATCTTTTCAAAATATTCTCCATCATGCTCTATACAAAGTTCCATTCGCTTAAACCAATTGAGAACACTTTTGCCAGTCTTGATCTGACAGGTTGGAAATTACTTCTTCGTAGGCAGTCACGGCTTCTTCGGCGCTTGAAAACAACTTACATTTTTTAACTCTTGGGAACAAAAAGAAATTACAAGGAGCTAAGTCAGGGCTGTAGGGTGGGTGACTTAGAGTTTCAACACCAGATTCCTCAATAAATACTTTTGTTCTAATTGAGGTATGTGAAGAGGCGTTATCGTGATGCACCATGTTTCCTCGAAGCCCGGTCTTTGGTCTTCTCTCCCATTCATCTTGAAAAGCTTTGGGTAATGCAACTGTAGTATACCATTCAGAGTTAACTGACCTACAATTTTTTAGCATTAACGTCGACACAAATGTCCGCTCCGCGAAAAAAAAGCCAACATTTTTTTGCAGACGTTGCGAGGTCTTTGCAGTTTTTTCGGTAACTGTCCTTCTGAGTAGACCCATACCGATGATTGTCTTTTTTTCCGATCATATTTTTTTGATTTTCCGGATCATATTGATAGATCCATGTCTCTTCACCAGTTACAATTTCTGAAACACGCCTAAATGCTCCGTTTTCAAAACGTAGACGTATTTCATGGCACCAATCCACACGAGTCTGTTTTTCGCTTGCGGAGAACAAACGAGGGATCCATCGACAACAAAGCTTCCTCACTCCAAGATGTTGATTTAGGATGGTATGAATGCTCCCCGAACTAATGCCTACAATTTTTTCGATGTCCGTATATGTGATTCGCGGGTCTTCTCCCACCACACTTCTTTTTTTTTTACGTGGTGGAGCCATGCTGTAGTTATATTAGTAGTACAGTTGTAGCACGAATGGGTCGGCTCGAACGGGGAGGGACCACGCTCTCACAGAATAACAGCGTCAAATAGTAGCTTAATGCTGCTGTGTTTCGTATGGTGAGTGTAGAGAACCGACCCTTTTTACTGGAAACGAGGCATTCCACGTAAGTCCTCACGAGTGACAACGTATTTGCATTTTGATTCGTAATCGAGGATCGTAGTCCATACATTTTCTGCCGTTACTGCTGTTTGCGGGACCCCGGTTCTTTGGTCATCTTTAAGGTTAATTGGTTAACCTTAACCTCATTTTGAATTCAGCAAACCACCTATAATTGGTTGCGCGATGGAGCTGAGTCCCTTGATGCTGATTGTAACCGTTGTAAACTTAATTGTTCGGTTAAATCAAATTTAAAATTATAATAGATTATAGCGCGCAAATGTTCACGGTTAAGATACATCGTTTTAAATGAAAAGCGCGGGTGGCGTTGCAGGAAAATTAATAGAACTTTGTTTTTTTTTTTAACATTGAGCAATCGGCTTATGCAGTTCTATTTTTAAATAAATTTTCTTTTTAGAAACATATAAAACGGGTGCGTTCCATTTTTAAATTTCGAGCATCTCTAAAACTTATTGAGTGACCTACGTAGTAGCACGCTACTAAGACACCAGTGGACAAAAATCCACCTAACGCAGCACTAATGCACTAAGACATGGAGTTGAGTATGCT